AAAGTTGTACTACAATGTCGCCAGTTCTCAGCCTCGAGCTGCGCAGATCGCTCCGCGTACTAAAGTTGTACTACAAAGTCGCCAGTTCTCATCTTCCAGCTTCCCAGATACTCCGCGTACTCAAGTTGTACTACAAAGTCGCCAGTTCTCAGCTTCCAGCTCCCCAGATACTCCGCGTACTAAAGTTGTACTACAAAGTCGCCAGTTCTCAGCTTCCAGCTCCACAGATACTCCGCGTACTAAAGTTGTACTACAAAGTCGCCAGTTCTCGTCTTCGAGCTCCACAGACTGCTCCGCGTACTAAAGTTTACTAAAGTTGTACTAGAAAGTCGCCAGTTCTCATCTTCCGCGTGCTAAAGTTGTACTACAAAGTCGCCAGTTCTCAGCTTCCAGCTCCACAGATTGCTCCGCGTACCAAAGTTGTACTATAGAAAGTCGCCAGTTCTCATCTTCCAGCTCCGCAGATACTCCGCGTACTAAAGTTGTACTACAAAGTCGCCAGTTCTCAGCTTGCAGCTCCACAGGTGCTGTGCCTGCCACGAAATCTGCGCATGGAGGTTCGCAAAGTGCTGCGCCTGCCACGAAACCTGCGCATGGAGGTTCACAAAGTGCTGTGCCTGCCACGAAATTTGCACATGGAGGTTCACAAAGTGCTGTGCCTGCTGCGAAATCTGCACATGGAGGTTCGCAAAGTGCTGCGCCTGCCACGAACTCTGCACATGGAGGTTCACAAAGTGCTGCCCCTGCCACGAAATCTGCGCCTCGAGGTTCACACAGCGCTGTGCCTGCCACGAAATCTGCGCATGGAGGTTCACGCAGCGCTGTGCCTGCCACACGAAATATCTGCGCATGGAGGTTTGCACAGTGCTGTGCCTGCCACGAAATCTGCGCGTGGAGGTTCACAAAATGCTGTGCCTGCCACGAAATCTGCGTGCGGAGGTTCACAAAGTGCTGCACCTGCCATGAAATCTGCACATGGAGGTTGACAAAGTGCTGCGCCAACCACGAAATCTGCGCGTGGAGGTTCACAAAGTGCTGTGCCTGCCACGAAATCTGCGCAAAGTAATGCGCCTGCCACGAAATCTGCGCATGGAGGTTCACAAAGTGCTGCGCCTGCTACGCAATGTGCGTATGGAGGTTCATAAAGTACTGCGCCTGCCACGCAATCTGCGCATGGAGGTTCACAAAGTGCTGCGCCTGCCACGAAATCTGCGCATGGAGGTTCACAAAGGTGCTGTGCCTGCCACGAAATCTGCGCGTGGAGGTTCACAAAGTGCTGCGCCTGCCACGAAATCTGCACTTCAAGAAACAACTGAAACCTCTAATCGCAATGGAGGCACGATTCCGAGAATGATCCGAGCATGATCCGACCATGATCCGACCATGACCCGAGACCGTCTCGCAACCGTCGTTCCGCGGAGCTTTCCCGTCGAGGTTCGGAGAAGCGTGGAGGTTCACAAAGTGCTGTGCCTGCCGCGACATCTGCGCGTGGAGGTTCACAAAGTAATGCGCCTGCCACGAAATCTGCGCATCGAGGTTCACAAAGTGCTGTGCCTGCCAGGAACTCTGCGCATGGAGGTTCACAAAGTGCTGTGCCTGCCACGAATTCTGCGCATGGAGGTTCGCAAAGTGCTGCGCCTGCCACGAACTCTGCGCGTGGGGGTTCACAAAGTGCTGCGCCTGCCACGAAATCTGCGCGTGGAGGTTCACAAAGTGCTGCGCCTGCCACGAAATCTGCACATCACGGAGGTTCACAAAGTGCTGCGCCTGCCACGAAATCTGCGCTTCAAGAAACAACTGAAACCTCTAATCACAATGGAGGGACGATTCCGAGAATGATCCGAGCATGACCCGAGCACGATCCGACCATGATCCGACCATGACCCGAGACCATCTCGCAACCGCCGTTCCGCGGAGCTTCCCCGTCGAGGTTCGGAGAAGCATGGAGGTTCACAAAGTGCTGTGCCTGCCACGAAATCTGCGCATGGAGGTTCACAAAGTAATGCGCCTGCCGAAATCTGCGCATCGAGGTTCACAAAGTGCTGTGCCTGCCACGAACTCTGCGCGTGGAGGTTCACAAAGTGCTGCGCCTGCCACGAATTCTGCGCATGCATGGAGGTTCACAAAGTGCTGCGCCTGCCACGAAATCTGCGCATGGAGGTTCACAAAGTGCTGCGCCTGCCACGTAAACTGGAGCTAGAGCTATTGAAACTAGAGCTAACTGGAGCTCGAGCTCTTGAGGCTGGGCCTACCTGGAGCCAGAGCTAGTTTCAATAGAGCTACCTGGAGCTAGAGCTATTGAAACTAGAGCTACCTGGAGCTAGAGCTCTTGCTCCTGAAACTAGAGCTAACTCATCGAGTGGTGTATGATGAGTGGTGTATGATGAGTGATGTATGATGAGTGGTGTATGATGAGTGGTGTGTGATGAGTGCTGTATGATGAGTGGTGTATGATAAGTGGTGTATGATGAGTGGTGTATGATGAGTGGTGTATGATGAGTGGTGTGTGATGAGTGGTGTATGATAAGTGGTGTATGATGAGAAGTGTATGATCAGTGGTGTATGATGAGTGGTGTATTGATGAGTGGTGTATGATGAGTGGTGTATTGATGAGTGGTGTATGATGAGGGGGTGCAGCCAAGCAAAATGCTTGACGTTACCCCTGACGTTACCTGGCACGTCGCCTTCGGGATCCCATAAAACAGTTGCCTGGCATTGCCACAAGCTCGGTGTGCGTGTAGGCACAATGCAGCCGCAGCGGCACTGGCATTGCCACAATCTCGGTGTGCGTGTAGGCACAATGCAGCCGCCAGCGGCGCATTTCCGGGGTGGCAAGCAAGAGCAGTCGGAACGGGGGGGGGCACAGCCAAGCAAAATGCCTGACGTCACCCCTGACGTTACCCCTGACGTTACCTGCACGTTGCCATCGGGATCCCGTAACACAGTTGCCTGGCATTGCCAGAAGCTCGGTGTGCGTGTAGGCACAATGCAGCCGCAGCGGCGCATTTCCGGGGTGGCAAACGACACCATCTATTTCTGCCCACAAGAGCAGTCGGAACGGGGGGGGCGCAGCCAAGCAAAATGCCTGACGTTACCCCTGACGTTACGTGGCACGTTGCCTTCGGGATCCCATAAAACAGTTGCCTGGCATTGCCACAAGCTCGGTGTGCGTGTAGGCACAATGCAGCCGCAGAGGTAGAGATGCCAATGCCAGGACCTGACGTTACCTGGCACGTTGCCTTCGGGATCCCAAAAAACAGTTGCCTGGCATTGCCAGAAGCTCGGTGTGTGTGTAGGCACAATGCAGCCGCAGCGGCACATTTCCGGGGTGGCAAACGACACCATCTATTTCTGCCCACAAGAGCAGTCGGAACGGGGGGGGCGCAGCCAAGCAAAGTGCCTGACGTTACCCCTGACGTTACGTGGCACGTTGCCTTCGGGATCCCATAAAACAGTTGCCTGGCATTGCCACAAGCTCGGTGTGCGTGTAGGCACAATGCAGCCGCAGCGGCGCTGGCATTGCCACAAGCTCGGTGTGCGTGTAGGCACAATGCAGCCCGGGGTGGCAAACTACACCATCTATTTCTGCCCACAAGAGCAGTCGGAACGGGGGGGGGAGGCAGCCAAGCAAAATGCCTGACGTCAGTGGTGTATGATGAGTGGTGTATGATGAGTGGTGTATGATAAGTGATGTATGATGAGTGGTGTATTTATGAGTGGTGTATGATGAGTGGCGGCGTATTGATGAGTGGTGTATGATGAGTGGTGAATGAACAGTTTTAGAATGTCCGTAACACGGAAGTTTCGTTCACTAAACTTCCTTTGACTAAGAAAGAAGAGGTTTCTTAAGGAGTCATAGGTTGGACTAAAAAAGAAGAGGTTGATGCCAATCCAATGGAGCTGATGTGAGTGAGTGATTTGTGTGCAATCACCGACTGTGCAGCAATCCTTTCGATCGCCGGTTAGTCTCGTTCTTCGCTGCCTGGCCTAGCCGGAAACTTATTTTTCTCCGAAGAGGACCCTACCGGTGGCCCAACAACTTAAAAAAGAACACCAAACGAAACATTTGTCAGAAACGTTAAGACACCTCTTGTGTCCTCTTTGTTTCTTCCTGCTTTTGGACCTGCCACCGGTGGCCTGTTTGCTTGGACTCGTTGAACACCACACGGGCGTGATTGATAGAAACAGAGCGAACAAGAATGCCTTGCCTGCTTGGGACACTTGCAGGTTGTGTTGGGACTTGTGGGTTTGCTCGTGTACCATGTTTTGGGATAGAGTATTGAAGTTGTGTTTTTTGAAACAGCAAGTTGAAGTGTATACAAGTAATGTGACTATATTGAGATTGAGATCACAGGGACAGGATGCTGTATTTTTTGTCCGTTTCTTCCCAATGGATTCCGCTTGCGGGGCTCGATCATGGTAAGGCCCTCCCATGGGACATGTGTACAGTTTCACAAAATACTTTTTGCCTTTTCACATTTTTCCCCAGATGGCGTGAGCTATTGGGGTTCTTACTTCAAGTATAGGAAGAACTGCATGTGTCCGCTTTCGAGCCTGGGTGCTGGTGCCGCTGCAGGGTGCTGGTGCCGCTGCAGGGTGCCGCTGCCCGATGTGTGGCCGTGTGCGTTTTGAATCTTTGGTGCAGGTGCCGCTGCAGGGTGTTGTTGCCAGATGTCTATGGCGGTGGAGCCTGGGTGCTGGTGCCGGTGCGGCGTGCTGCTGCTGCGGCGTGCTGCTGCTGCTGCTGCTGCTGCTGCCCGCAATTTTAAGAATGTTTTGCTATCTGGGTTTATGCTACTTTCATCACATTCCGAAGACCCCAAATCGCTACTTTTGGCAACATAATAAGACTTTTCACGGAATTTTATGATGCTTGCGTTTGCATATTTGTTGTAGATGTCCTTTCTTGGAACACTTTTTCTTCGGAACCCTCGCGTGTCCACCCTACTTTTTAGTATACTCACCCTTTCTGCTGTACCAGTCAGTTGCAGCTTGGGCAGGCTCCTACAGAGATCCTGCGAAAGGACTACCAACAGCCGCCCTTTGGTTGAACATCAAGTGACTTGGGAGTTGCGCCCAACCGTGCATCCATTTGCATTCTTCTTCTTAGCGTACTGAAATGACCGCAAATCGAATCACTGGATACGTGAGTCGAAACCGAAACCATTCGTTCTGATTAAACCTCTCTTCTGGGTCTGTGGGCAATGCAAACACGCTTGAAAATGAGGACCTATTGGATTCGAGAGGTGAATCTCACGGTGAAAATATTCGACGGCCGTACAGAGGTGAGACCTGTTGGATTCTGTACATTTGTGTATCCCTGATATGTAACTTGAAATCCATTGATCGCCACAATTGCCACAATGCAGTGAAGAGATATCGATGATGAAACAATGACAAGTAATTCTCTGGATTTGAAAACATATCCAAATTGAACCATGCATTTTGTAGCTGATGGATAAATGCTCACCGATGGCTGGTAGGTCGTCTCCAGAATGCTCTTGGAGAAGAACACTGGTGGCCGCCTGCCGTTGGATGGTGAGGAGATCTCAAGATGAAGTCTTTTGCGGGTGGGCTTTGTCTGTTGATTGTGCTTTGCAACCTGTGGAAAGGACCTGAAGCTCAAGAAGGTGTCTCTTTGTGGCAACGAGCTGAAAGAAGGTGGTGGATACACTTTGGAGAAAGAGAAGTTGAGCCTGAACTGCACACACTAAAGGCACCCATGTTGACACAACCGTGTTGACAAAGCCCGATGCAATGCCTGAGGATCATTTCAGCGGAAGCTTTGGAAGGAGGCCAGTTTTGGTGCTACATGGTGCATCCTGCGGGCAAAGATCCTCCAACCCAATCGTACTTCCTCCTTTCAAGGGCTCTCCATGTTCACGTGAGCAATCTCACCCACCAAGCACGTTGACGACTTTGCCAGACATGCTCAGGGATGTTGTGTTTCAGGTGATCAGGAGGATCTTTGGTTGGAGACAGAAGTGGAGATTGTGCCGGAGAAGAACACTCAGTTTTTCAGCTGCATTCTGTTGAACATGTACCGTTTGATTGCTTTGAAAGCTCCAATGCGATTGCAGCCAAAGCCCATGGTATAGTCGATACCCTGATCCATTGATGCTCTGACGCTTGGGAGGCTCTCGGGCTTATATTTTAGTGGCAGCATGTACTGCACACAGATGGAAGCTGAAGGCCATTGAGTGTTATGCTGCAAGTCAATGTGACCCCGAGCTCTTCTTTTTTCTCAGGCTACCGGCGATTCACTTATCACTTGGACCGGCCTGATGTCATGTCCAAATTCACCTCTGTGAGACTGGAAGCAGATGAGTCCAAATGCCCAATCTTGCTTCTTGGTTTCAGAAAAGACCATGCTGACTTTGCCGGTGATGGATGGCGGTGGATATACCAACATATCACATGCCTTCGCCTTTTTTAGGGCGAACCAGGACCGAACCCAAGAGGTTTTATGTGGAGCTGGAGTGCCGGCTTCTAGCGCCTGTGAGGCTCAGCAACGGAAACCGTATTGATTCTGGCAAGCTCGAAGCAGGCCAGGGGTTGCTTTTGATTTCAAGAGGGTGGAGAAACAACGAGAGTGTTTGTGTTTGCAGAGCGTTCGAGAATGTATTATAATAACAGTGTCCACACAATGAAGAAAAATTGTAACGAAGTGCGAGCAGAACACACGGAACCATTTATACGCACGCAAACACAGTGGAGACAAAACTTTTAGCGGTATAGCCAGAGGAATGAAGGAGGAACAGCAGAAGTTTACGGGCCAAAAACTGACAAGACTCGGCTTCACCTAGGACGTCAGAGTTCATGACAGAAAGGAGAGGAGAGATAGGAAGGGAAGAAACATATATAGAAAGTAATCGTAGCACATATAAGCCGAATGGCCGTGAAGTTAAGTAGTTCGCAGTTGCGCAGAGTGGAAAGGGGTGGAAAAGGAATTTTGAATTGCTGTCATTGGATTGGCAAAATGCGGAAAAGTTAAGGCATGAAGATTCAATTCACAAGACCGCATTAACACACACGTGCTCGTCAATGCATTTGCCCTTTAGTTCAGAACCGATGCAATCCGATGCAAATGGCTGGACCATTGTTGTAGTTTGGAATGGGGCTGCGCAGGGAAACCTTCCGATGTCCGTCCAGATTACGGTACATATCAGCTGCTAGTGGGTCCCTCCCGACTCCCTGTTCGTTGGACACTGACAGGAACAAGTAAAAACAGAGTCGCCCTGCAGTTTAAATGCTTCTTCCGTGGGCGCCCCCCCCCACACACATTTAGAATATAATATATATGTTTTTATAGTACATTCTACGATGAAGTTTCAGAGTTATATAGCCCTCCGTAGTTTAGTCAGAGTGAAACGGTGCAGCGCCTCAACCTGAGAAACCTGGAGAAATGGCCCTTCAATCTGGCAGCGAAACATCATCCATTGGTGTACACATTGAGTTCTAGAAAAACATTTATTGAATGTGCGACACGTCGCCTTCTAAAAAACAGGTGGTGAAGTGTGATGCAAGTGCTAAGAAGGCATCGACACAGCTCTGAGGAAATGCATCCGCTAGGTCCAACCCGATGAAGGTGGCACCTGTGCCATGTTGTGTTGTGGCAATAGGAACTTAGTGGCTGCCGTGCGCAAAGGGAGGGTCCACCAGCTGCCGTTTAAAACAGTCAGATACATCCCTGTTTTGTGCCACGTGTTGGCCAAGTAGGGGGCCTAGCGTTATGCTTGCCATTCGCACGGCGCAAGGTTCCCTGATCTTCTGGCTTTTAAGAGATTAAGGTTAAAGTCTGCGCAGTCGTAGAAGCTGCCAGCTGTGTTAAGTGAAAGCCTGACTGTCGACATGAGACCCTAGCCACCGTCTTGAAAACATGGAGGTTGAAAATTCTGCGGTTGGAATGTGTACAGCCATCGATGCGGCTTCAGAGTTCTGCTGACAAGCATTAGCTCTTTAGAATGCAGTTAAAGAAAGCAGCGCGGGGTACATGGCCCTTCGAAATGGCAGCGAAGCATAAAACGGTTTTTGCATGCGTCGCGGGCAAATTACGGATTGAACAAGAACAAGTACGTCAGGAAAGCGTCCTCTCCTGATGTCTTTAGCTTCATTGGCCCATGCCAGGAACAGACCCGTGAACCCCCTGCATTTGTGTACAAGTGACTTGTTCAGAAGTGTCTTTTGAATCTGTCAGGTTTCCTTTGGAACAGGTTGTGACACACTTAGACAATGGGTTTGCAGTTACATCAATTCCCCGAGGAAATGAATGAGGGAACGGAAAGGTGGCAAAGTCTGCGGAAAAGGCATGTTGAACATTGTTTGCAAGTGTACTCAGAAACGATCTAACCCTCAGCGCGGCTGCCGGTGGGGAGAGGGTTTGTGGGAAGTATCATGAAACCACCATGGAAACAAAAAACGAAAAGTGGAGTCACAGCGTGGTCAAACGTTCCGGTTGCAGGTGCACGAATGGACGTCTCCATTCGCTTCCCCTCCAGCGATTTAGCTTCGTGGGACAAGGTTCATCGCTGGAGGCCTTGCCCCGCTGCTTGCGTAAAAACTCCTAGAAGCAGAGTGTGACACACACACACACACTCGGCCGCTTTGCGGCGCTCTGGCGGAGGACCTGAATAGGCACCTAAAAAGCCTTAGAAACAAGAGAAAGAAAGCCAGAAAGAGCAGCGCTAAAAGGGCAAGAGAGTAAGATAGGAGTAGCAAAAAGTCAATACTTAGCCCTTGACTGGGGTAGGGCAAGGAGCCTCAAGAACAACCTAAAAAGCCTGAGAGAAAGCCCAAGAAACGACAAAAGCGCAAGAAAGAAAGTGGGGGGCAGGGAGGTGTATGTACATGTGTGTGTCCGTGTGTGTGTGTGTGTATGAATACCTAGCACTCTAGAGTTACTGATTACTGAGCCGAAGTGAATTAGGTGCAATAGTTAGAGAGCGGGACTTTAGTCTTACACCGCCCGGGTAGAGTAGACTAGAAAAGGGACAACAGAGGGAAAGGCGCCGACACACAAGTGTGTCGAGTACCATTTCCCTCTGTTACCCTAATTAGAAGGAGGGGGGGTTGGGGTGTTTGGGTAGAGAACACGTCGGGGTTAATTCTCCGTATGCCCGGCGGCTTCGAATTTCCGTGGACCCGGCGGTTTGAATTTCGAGAATACAGTGCGTGAGACGAAAATCAGTTAAGAGAATCCAACGCGTGCAGGAAACAGTTGAATCAGTTACACGATACTCCGGAATGAATGCAGCGCCCCCTTGCGGGGGATCACACTGTGTACCCAAGTGGGGCGACGCAGCGGCATACGCTTAGACAATGGGTTTGCAGTTACATCAACTCCCCGGGGAAATGAATGAGGGAACGGAAAGGTGGCAAAGTCCGCGGAGAGGAAATGTTGAACATTGTTTGCAAGTGTACTCAGAAACGGTCTAACCCTCAGTGTGGCTGCCGGTAGGGAGAGGGTTTGTGGGAAGTATCATGAAACCACCGTGGAAACAAAAAAGGAAAAATGGAGTCACAGCGTGGTCAAACGTTCCGGTTGCAGGTACACGAATGGACGTCTCCATTCGCTTCCCCTCCAGCGATTTAGCTTCGTGGGACAAGGTTCATCGCTGGAGGCCTTGCCCCCCTGCTTGTGGAAAACTCTTAGAAACAGAGTGTGACACACAAACACACACCCATACACACAAGCGCACACACGCCCACGGACAGACGCACGCACACACACACACACACGCGCATCTCATCTTTCCGATCGTGCAAGCTGTCCTGATTTCCTGGTGTTACGAAGCCAAGCCGTCACGTGGAGCTATGAATTGTGCAGGGCGGCACTTTGCGGTGTGGTCGGACCCCTTTGCCAAGCCGTCGTACCTCTTTGCGGTGGTGGCTGGAGATTTAGCAGCTGGGTGAAGTGGGTGATGGATGGTGGCCCAAGCAACAGAAACTTCACAGATCTCATATGAGGTCATGGTGAGGTCATGGCAAAGTTGCTCGTTTTTGTTTTTTGACCCTCACACCGCCGTATTTTTCGTCATGCCGTGCAGAACTGACAGTTGCAGGTAGTGACAATACTTTGAAGATAGCAAGCTCTAGGAAACTAGGAAAATGTACGAATCATGCTTTCTCTCTCCGTTATTGATCCGTTTTTGCTTTGTGCGCGCCTTTCATTTTGCAAAACAGGTTCACAGTGGGAACGTTGCAGGGGTACTCTGCGTAAGGGAATCACTCCACACCGCAACCCCCTCCAGTTGAACATGGTGTTCCTTGAGTTGAAAGGCTGCCTTTTGTCTGAACAGGTATTCTGTTCAGGAACCGCATCCTTGCTTGCACCCTGCCCGCCCACGCGAGATGGGAGCTGTGGTGAAATGCGCGAAGCCATGCGAAGCCTTAGGAGTCTATCGCACCATCCCAATGCATGGTTGTTTAGGGGAGCAGGGTTGGTTCCAGGTCTGAGGTGCTCCCAGCCTGGCCCCCCCCCTGGAGTTGTCGCCAAAAGCCGTGAGCGCTGTTGTAGGGAAGAGAGGGTTTGGGCTAGGAGTGATAAGCAAGTAATACCCTAATGCCATAGTGGCATTTTGACATTGATAAGGAGGTTTTTAGAATTCAATATCAAGCTATCCGAGACCAAAACAACCTTCCTACAGTTGTCATTACAAGAATGGGCAAGATTAGCTGAGCGGGCAGCCGAACATGCGCCAAAGCACGTGCGCGTGCGGGATCCTATGAACGGTCACAACAAGCAATTTTTGTGGTACGGACGGATCCGACCGGCCACCGGCCACCGGTCACCCCACCGGTCACCAGCCACTGGTCACGCTCCGGTAATATTTCCGGGCAACCTGGGCGCCCACAGGGCCTGGACTTTGGCAAACCGCAGTTCTTCCTTGGACTATCGGGTGGCTCGCGAATAGATTTTTGGTTACTGTAGCGCGTTCAGGGTTTCACATGTAGGTTCTGTTGCTAAAAAAATTTACACACACTGGCCACTATAGTATGCGTGTGTATATACATATGTGTGTATATATATCTATGTGTATGTAAACATGAGGTCCTGCCCATCTCGGTACAGTCCTTCAAATATATTCCGGACGCGCGTAGGGGTTGGCCTCCACTAGGCCCACACTGCGCGGAATATTCTACTCGTTGTTCTTCCACTTGGTTGAAAGCTACTCTTTTGTTACGTCTGTTTGCTGTCTTGCGCCCTTTTAAGCCAGACTTTTTTATATATTGCATGATACTTTCTTCAGGTAGATTGTTGTATCGGTGCATATCGATATGCTCTTTACAACTATTACAACTATGACGTACCCAGTGTTCATGTCTATTTATACGTGCGAGTATGCAAGTGTGGTGACTTGCAGAAGTTGAAGGAAAGCATCGTTGGCGTTCAATATTAGAAGCTGAACAGGAAGCATATTACCTACTGTACAGTTTTGATTAGGTTTGAAGGATAAGGCACAGTCGCAAAAACGATATGTAATTGCAGAATGGATACAGGTCTTTTTCAATATATGCTATGTTGTACGCCGTCGACGTAGTATCATCAATATGTTTAGCGTATTTCTCTATCAGTTTAGTGGCTGGCAGTGGCTGGCGTTTACAAAAAGCAAAAAGGGAGAGAGAGAGAGTTCTTGATATTGTTCAGCTTTTGTTCACCCTCTTCTGCGTTCAGTCTCTTATACACTTTCAGATATATATATATATATATGATGCCCAAACATATTGCCAATCATTGCATCAGCATCTTTTTCATAATCTTGGTACTTGTCAGTCCCTGAACTGGCTTTACTTGTTTGGTACCACCTGTTGCAAACAAAAAGAGACCAACAAACTAGACGCTCAAGCCGATGAAAGAGATTCTTTAAATATAGTTTTACAGATTCTGATAGTCAGATGGTGCTATGTCAACATCACCAAAACTTGTTCCAAAAAACCTGCCTATTGCTACGACATCGCCTTCAAATTTGTCTAACAACCCATTTGTAGGGCGTACAAAAAACTGTGTAGCCTTTGTCAACCATTTTCTTGGAGATATGACTTTTGCCTACTCCTGCAAAAAATCTCCTGATCATTGAATGTTTCACTTTTTCAATTTTACTAACAATATCATCAGTGTCAAACTCATCAATTTGAATTCTTGTTCTATTTTTAGAGGTTGTTATTTCTACTGTTTGATTTTCTACAGTTTGGTAATGAAAAGTTCATTAGGTAATTGATATCCGCGCGTTGCTCTCTCTCCAGCCTCCAACCTTACACATAGAAACCCATAGTTCTGGAAGTTTTGTTCATCTTCAGCCTTGATGGTGAAAGCGTCAATCTTAACACTATACACGGTAATACCAGCGTGCTTCAGTTTAGAGTAGGCTTCATACATTGGACAGGTGGTGTTGCGAAAGAAGCTATTTGATATACCGTATCTGAATATGACGTAGGGGAATTCTTGATATGCAGGGAGTATACCAAATCAAAACAAGTGTCTTCAATGTAAATGTTGATATGCAGGGGGAGTATACCAAATCAAAACAAGTGTCTTCAATGTAAATGTCAAAAAATAGTACTGACATTGCTACCTTGAAGAAAAGAAAACGAACAACTATATATGCTTCAAACATTTGGGATTGGCAACGCAAGAAACAAACTTCATACTTGCTTGGTGTTCAACTTGCCATTCTGCTTAAGGCTTGAGGTAGTAACATTGGTGGAAACATTACAGTGTTTAACTACAACCTTTTTCTTCTATAAAATTTTCCTGAATAGGTTTGGACAGCCTTGTCGAATATGAACAAATTCTTTAGGTATATCAATGATACCAATGATGATTTTAATACAAGATGCATCATAAGCGATTTTGAGAGAGCAAAACCTAAACTGACAACTACAAAAAGAATATACAAACAAAAGAATTGTACCAAAAACGTGATATGTAATTGTTCAGTGGTTCTTGGATAATATCACTAATTAGTGTAATTATTGTGGGTGTGGATTTCATACTGATATGAAAGGTTTTGTTAGGAATAACTCAACTTGCCAAAGAGTTTCTTCTCTTGAGTCTCACTCACTGGATAATATAGTGCCTTTTTGTTGTAGATCTAACTGTAGTTGTAAACAATGTATGTTTGAAAACTTGTTTCAAGAAATATGATATAGACAGTATGGTAGTTAGGGTTAGTAGCAGGTAGTTGTAGTCAGTCCCGGCTTCGTACAATGCTGTATTGGTAGCGCTATTGAAGGTTGGCGTTATGGAGTTGAAATTGAAACGCTGCAAATGATTAGGCGCATCAGAAAACATTGTGTATGTTGTGTTTATGCAGTAAACTACTTCTCAAACAAAACAAACAAACACACAAAAAACGCAACGCAGAAACATGAAATCCAAACTAGTCTAAACCTTTGTAGGATGAACATGGTGTCCAACTCATTTTTTTTGTTGGTTTGTTTGTTTCTTTTGGTTTCCTGGTTCTAGGATTGGGCATAATGTCCAAATGGTTGTTTTTTTGGTTTCCCGGTTCCAGGATTGGGCATGGTGTGATATGAATATACCAAGCGCATTTCCTATATGTCCTACATATCCGGTTAAAAATGAACTATGTTCTGTTGGCGCAATTACAAGTTGCATTCTATGTATGTCCTATACGTGGCCTCAAGCCTAAATACGTATACAATATATATATATATATTTTTTTTTTTTGACGCCGTGCCAAATCCCTACATCTCTCCAAGTGTTCTGTCACGCGTAGCCGCACCTCCGGCTTTCTTTTCAAATCGAAGTGAAGAACTTTTTACAATCCAAATTGCTATAGTTTTAAGCGGTTGTTGCGATATTGGCAACGCATGTGTGTATATATATGTGTGTAGTGTAGAATGTAACAAAACATGTTTAGACATTGCAATTGATTGAAAAACACGTAGAAACATGGTGTGATATATATATATATACATGTGCATATGTATATATGTGACGCGTGTATATAGATATATATGACATTATGATGATGACAGCTGTCCTTGTGAACAACGTTTAAATAGAATCTCTGTTGCTTTGGTTTGATCGTTTTGACCCAAGAGCACAGATAAAGTATAATATGGTCATAGTGTGTTTGGTGCGAGGTCTCGGAGAGAGTGCGCGCAATCAAATGTATGCGTGCAGGGCCCTGCCCCAAAGCTGTGTTCCAGGTGATGTGTTAGCAGTTCTATAGTAAATTGAGTGGGTTCAGGGCCAGTGGTTTTTCACTTGATCCTTTTTTTCGCGCGAGAGGCGCAAGAGGGCTGCGGCGGAAACAGCCAATTCGCAATACTCCGTTTTTTAGAAATCATTTCGCGCGAGAGGGTTGCCAGGGAAACAACAGAATCGCAATATCGCAGCTTTTGCACTTGCGAGTGGGTTGCCGCACATAGTTTGACGTCGAAATCGCTCGCAATATTGCCAGCGTTTTTTGCTACTTGACCTTCGTCGGTTCGTGTGAGAGGGTTGCCGCCTATCAACATCAAAGTCGCAACACTCCCACAGTTTTTGATACTTGACGCGTGTGTTTTGCGGTGACTTGGGAGCGGCGCCCTGGGTTAAGAAAGAGAATTGTAACCAGCAGACAAGCAGAGAGACAAAGAGCAAGAAAGAAGAGAGAGCAGGGAGAGAGAGAGAGAGAGAGAGAGAGGGAGAGGGGGAGGGGGAGGGGGAGGGGAAGAGGGAGGGGGGAGAGGGGAGAGGGGAGAGGGAGAGGGAGAGAGGGAGAGGGAGAGGGAGAGAGGGAGGAGAGGGGGAGAGGGAGAGGGAGAGGGAGAGAGAGAGAGAGGCTCTTGTTTCGGCAGTCTTTCTCCGTGACTAGGTCCTATCCTACCTGTACGGTGGCTGTGCCTTTGCCAGTGATCGAGGTGGACGTGCCCTTTCACCTGATCACCTACAACTATGCAGGGGTGGGATGGCTTCAAGAAGGTGAGATCTCACCGCGCCTACTATGTGTGTGGGGGCTGTGAAGGCTCCTGGATTTGGGCTGACCGGTCAATGACCTTCGTTGGTGCTGTGATCATTGTGGAAAGCAGTGGCCGACAGGAGATGAAGCATGGCTCACCCAAGGCAGGCAATCACCGCCAGAGGAAAGAACGAACAAGGAAAATTGAAGCACCACCATGCCTTAGCGGCAGGGACAAGAAGCCAACCAAGCATCCATCTCTGGAGACGGTGCTGAAAGCCCATTTGCAATCTCTTCCAAGTGAAGCCAAACAAAGCAGCTGTGGAGAACCTGCTGACGCTGGTGAAGGAAGAGCCCAAGGACATCACCGCCAAGTTGAAAGCCACGGTGGGAGAACTTAGACAGTTGTCCAACAAGAAGGCAGGGCTTCAGAAGCGTGTTGACAATGCCAAAGATCAATACAAGCTCCTCTTGGGTGAGTTGAAGATGGTCCAGGAACCAGAAGCCTACGCCAAGCTGTTGAAAGATGAGACGAAGGATGCTGCTGTCCTCGAGGTAGCAGTAGACGATGATGTTAATGAACATGTGCTGAAGGCACTTGCGCAGAGCATGCTGAAGCGCCGTAAGAGGAGTGATGGCCAGCAATCAGGGTAACCCTGACAGCAGGCTCTTGTCAATCTCAGGGGAGCAGGGGAAAAGGGCCAGGGCTGCAGAGCATTTTGATTTGGGGTCAGTGCTGATTTCAAGCCTTGGTGATGCAAAGCAGAGCAAGCAGTGGGGACAGCATTCAAACCTGAGGGAGTGTTTGAGCGTCTGGCATTCGTGGGATGGCATGTCACCTTGCTGGGGTGCAAGCACACATGCTCGTGTCATGAAAAAGCTGAGGAAGCTCCCGCAAAAGGCTTGTGGGCCAGATGGAATTAGTTATACGCAACGCTCAAGAATTTGCCCATTGAAGGGGTCATTGAACTGTGCCACATGCTGCGGAAGTGGGAACTGTCTGGACGACTGCCTGATCAGGTGTGCGCAACGTTGGTTCTGCTCCTACCAAAAAAGGTTGACATTGAGAGGCCTATCTCCTTGACAAGTGTGCTCTACCGCACATGGCGCCGCCTCAGATGGGACAAGCTTCGTTCGTGGCAGACCAGCATTGGTCAAAGGCTGCCATGGGAGCGAAGCCTGCCTGGCACTCAAGTTCTTCAAGTTGCGCTGATGAGATTGTTGAAGTGCGAGGTAGGTCGCGCAGTGGGCCGTCGCGTCATATCGCTTCTGATAGACCTGCAGTGCTTTTGCGATTCTGTCGAATTGTCGCAACTCCTGCAGCTCCGGGAACCGTTTGACTTCCCCCTGCATATATGAACATGATCTATGAAGTGTACAGTGGACCTCGTTTGCTCGTTTGCTTCAGGCAGAAGGAGTTATCTCCAATGGAGTTCATTGTGAAAGAGGCATGTTAGCAGGATGCCCGGCGGCTCCACTGGTCGCCAAACTTGTGTTGGCTCCGGTTTTGAAGGACTTCCAAGGCAAGTTTCCTAGAGCCTCAATTGATGTATGGGTGGATGACATTTCCATGGACTTCGTTGGAGAAGATTCCTATACTGTCTGCAAAGAAGCATTGGCTGTGGGGCTCCAACTGTCTGTCAGCAAGACTGGGTTCCTGGCGTCAACTGCTGAGGCCAAAAGGGCTGTCAATCTGTATCGATCTGAGGAACAGCCAAAGGCGCGCGACCTCTTGAAGGACTTAGGTTTGGATTCAAGTGGGGGAAGGCGTCGTCGCGTTGGAAGCCAACAAAAGCGGATGTTGAAGGGCAGTGGAAGGCAATCCAAGCTTCTGCATTTGAAGCTGAGGTCAAGGCCCATCATTAGAGTGTGGAAAACTTCAACCCACTCTGCTGTGAGCTTTGGAGTTGAAGCGCAAGGTGTGGCGCCACAGAGGATGCGCAATTTGCGGCAGCAACTTGGCCGTCACGGAGGATTGCAGAAAAAGGGTAATGTTAACGACAGTGTCTTTGATTAACGTGGGCATCTTCAAGACCCTAAAGACATGTCGGCTTGGAGGGTGTCCTGGAGGAGACTGCAGGCGGCCGCGCACCCTTAGATGGTTGTTGCTCGCCCTATGGCTGCCTTACAAGTATATCTCATGGGGATGGGATGGGGCGGGTCAGTGCTGGATGATTGGATTCGACCGCCAACTGGATTGATGCCTGCCAGCCAATTGAGTTTGGATTTCCCCTGGCCGTGCTTGCAGAGGAAACTACACATTGAACAGATGCACCAGCGGGCCCGCAGGATTCAGGAGCTTGAGCATTGCTTTCCATTGATGAGGCAACCGGATTGGACGGTCTATCACAAAGTCATCAAGAAGCTTAAGGGGCCAGCTCGAGCAGCTGTAGACGCTTGGGCTCAAGGCTCGCTGAGAACCCATGACTCAGGGGAGCGGGTGCCCTGCCCATTGTGCAAGGTGCCGGTTACCATGAAACATCTGGTGTGGCAATGCAAGTACCATGAGCAGGAGCTTCCTGATGAATGGCAAGTCAGTATTATAACCCCGGTTGAAGGGCAGCGCAAGTGGCAGCGTCACCGTCAAGGAGTGGTCTGTGAACACTGTGGCAAAAGGATCAGGGCCTGCAGTACACACAGTGAGATAAGCGCCAAACAAGCTACAGTTTGCCCAGTTCCGTTCTCCAAGACCTTGAAACAAACGATGGCTGAATTGGCGCAAGACACTGAGACCTTGCTGGACGACCGACCAGGGCACAAATGGGAGCTGCGGGCGACCATGTTTGCCGCTGCTGGGCCAAGATCCCTTTTCGCAGCGGCAAGGCTGTCCTAGAGAAGTTGAAAAGCTCTGAGTGTCGTTTTGGTCGGCTGGCTGAAGATGGGTTGAACCTCAGAACGCGTGTGCGCACGTTTGGCGGAGGGGAGCCTGGCTTGAGTGTCAGCGTTGTGGCCGCGCCTCCAAAGAACAAGATGGCCGTGTTCAACTATGGATGTCCAATGGTTGTGACACCAAGCGTGGGCAGTTGAAGTTGCACTTCAAACCGCAGAGCTCAGATTGCTAGGGGCTATGAGATGCGGTACATGGTGACGAAGCTTGCTGGGTGTTTGAGTCAGGGTAGCATCCCTACCGCTACAAGGCTTGGCGGTTCTGCCACTTGTGGCCTTGTGGCCGTGGCGTCTCGTGAGTGCAGACTTAAAAGGACCGAGAAAAAAGAGAGAGAGAGAGAGAGAGGGAGAGGGAGAGAGAGAAAGAAAAGAGTAAAGAATACAGAGTAATGGAAGAACGGAAGGAAAACACGTATGCAGAAACACAAAAAAGAGAAAGATAACATAGGTAAGAGAGGGAGAGAGAGATGATATGCTCGCATGGGAAGTACAGATGTGAAGATGTGCGTGTCTGGGAAAGTATGGGTGTCAAGACGCGAGATGCAAAGATTTGCAGATGTGAAGACGTGCTATTGTGGAATACACACCTTTCGATATGCGCCGATAGGTAATGCGTTTGTTGTTGCCGGCCAGTGCAGTGCATGGGTACCGGGTTTCCAGTTCTGGAACCCAAGCAGTATAGGCCGTGTTAAGCTATTTACGAACCAGGCAACCGTTCCATTTTTCTGCGACTGCATCCCCCAAACAATGCCCAACGCAACGTTTTGAACGCTTGTTTTTTTCTGCGCGCGCTTCTTCTGCTGGCGTCTCCGCCCAAAGCCTTTGTCCCACTCAGAGCACCAAACCCTAGCCAAGAATCAGTTGCATTGCGTCAACACTCCCTTTGCGCGGAAACACACGCGCGTGTAGACACAGAACAACTCCGGGGGGATGTCCATCATTTCTGGCTCTGAATCACTTGTCCCAGGTAGTAGGTTTAGTGTGCTATTCCTTTCAGTTACCACGCCTGGTCGCCTACGTGTTCGCTCTTGTAGTCGCTAGAAACATTCCAGTTTGCTTAGACCTAGTCTTTAAGGCTGTCCCTCACGCGGCAAAGAACTAGTCAACCGCGTTCAATCGACCTCGGTGTTCCCGCTCCTCTTGCGCTATTTAGTACCTTGCTGACGAGCGCCTCTTCGCGCCAGCTCGACAAAAGCGCGTGTTATTCAATGGCACCCTTGTCTGAGGCCTCCATTCAAGACAAGCGCCTGAGCTGCAACGCTGCGAGTGCGATCTGTCGGGGTTGGGTTGATGATGATGCTTGTAGCTGTAGCTGTCATCGTTTTTGGGGTCCCCACCGTGGACCTGCGTTCTGACAGTACCCCTACGAATTCCAAGAGTTGCTTTCAGGTTTTTGACGAAATCTGGGCGAGAAGTCCATTTGGAAATCTTTGCCGCAAAGGAAGACAAAGACCAGTTGTGGCACGCTATGCGGCGAGCTGGCAGCATGTTGACGGTCCTGTTTGCGAATGTGTGTGTGTGTGTCCACACCTGTACCAAAGGACACCACCCCATGCAAGTTAATTCAGTTAGGCAGGGGGGCAGTGAATCTCATGCCGTCCACTGCCCAACGAAGACGGTGGTCTCTCTGAACGTACCCGCGACTTCATGCGAGCATTTTTGAAGTAAACCAACTGTTTAGGCTGACCTTCTCACCTTTCTGTTCCGCACATGGCCGTTGACAGGCTCAGGTTCCAGCGCTCTAGATCGGTATTGTACCCATCAGAGTGGATTGCCTTAATTGATTTAACTCTTGCGAGCCTCAATCTAAGTGTATTCGCGTGTACCCCTTGGAGTCACAGGGATCCCTCTGGAGTTGTCGTTCTTAGTTTCAAGCAGGGGGTGCCAGGGATTTGCAGTAAGCGGCTAATGCAGTAAGCGTCTAATGCAGCGGAGAGTCGCCTCGGATTCTCGTGAGCTTTGGATTGGATCTCGCCCTTTTGAGTTTATGGTTTAGAACATTTTGGGCAACCTTCTTTTCCACGAGACCTCTAGGCTAGTCTACCTTTTACTTGTATTCGCGCGAATATGGTCACCTAGGTCGCCGTGTGGCGAGTGGCATTTGAGTCAGTTCGCATATCCATATCCTTTTAGTACTTGTGCAGCTAAGCAGGGGGCACGGCGACCGTTCACCTAGCCGTGCTAAGCCGCGCTAACAAAGTTGTGGTGATCGGTTGGGTGAGATACTGGACGCAGTATCTTGTACGCGCTAAATTTAATTCTCCCTTCTTTTTTGAACTGTTGACTACGCTGTGACTCTCCCCTTCGAGTGAAGTGCTAGTGCGTCCTTGTTGAAACCTTCTGTTTGACCGACCCAGCACTTCTTGCCGTTGAATGAAGCCAAGCGCAAAGTAGTCAGTATTCACCAAAAGGGTTAATGCGCTGGAGTTCAAAATTGATTTAGCTCTTCCAAGCGTGGAGTGTGTGTGTGCTTCTTGCACTTTGCAAGCAGGGGCGTCAGGCTCGACACACCTACCTGACGCAACGAAGCTATGGTGTGTCGAGGGAAGCAGTCAGAGACGTCTGACTGTGTACCTGCGGAATTTTCCACAAGCTGTTACTCCAAGCTTTCCTTGTTTGTTTCCATGGTGGTTTCATGATACTTCCCACAAATCCTCTCCCCACCGCCGCTTTGCAGCCGCTTTGCAGCCGCACTGAGTGTCAGACCGTTTTCGAGCGCGCTTGCAAACAATGTTCAACCGTACAGTTCTCGCCGCCCTTTGCACCTTGCGTTTCCATCGCCTTTCCTGGGAATTGAGTTAGCTGAAAACCAAATGTGAAAGTGTGTGCCGCTGTCCCGTCCCACGTGGGTGCAGAGTGTGATCCCCGTCACTGGGGCGCCGTTTCACGCTGGAGTACCACCAACGGATTTTTCCGCGTCCTGCGTTCGTTGGATTATCTTAACGGACTTTCGTTTTACCAGTCTATTCCCAAAACCTAAGCCGCCGGGCTCCACGGAACTTCCACGCCGCCGGGCTTACAGTCATATATATGTGTCACACACACGCACACATCCACGCACCCCCCGCACCTTGCGCCCGAATTCGCGCTTTTATCCCACCCGCTATCTAGGGTAACAGAAAGAAATGGTACTCGACACACTTGTGTGTCGGTGCCTTTCCTTCTGTTTCTCCTGTCCCAGTTCTAGTTACCCGAGCGGTTTAATACGAATGTCCTGCTCGCTAACTAGTGCATTTAATTCATGCGGCTAAGTATTCAGTAACTAGCAGGTTTCGCAACTAGTGGGCCTCGTAACTACACCTATTTTTCTCTCTTGCCCTTGCGTTTCCCTTTCTGCCTTTTCTTTTCTTTCTTTCTAAGGCTTTTTAGGCGGTTAGTAATTTCCCCCGGAGCGCCGATGTTCAACCATACAGTTCTCGCCATCCAGGAGCTCGTCCTGTCCGCCAATTTTTCCCAAGTTCTCGCAGGGGGCCATCCCCCTCCCCAGTCCCTCCCCAGAGACGGATGGCCGCCGAAGAGGCCATTGGGGAGGGCTGCAAACGTACCTGCGAAACTTTTGCCCACGCTGTGACTCCACTTTTCCTGATTTGTTTCCATGGTGGTTCGCGTGGGTCAAAACAGGTTTCCTTGCACGCTGCTAAGTAATCAGTAGCTAGTTTTACCTTTGTTCAAACAAGTACTCTGACTTTTCGCCTTTCGGTTCACTCTTTCCTTTCCTTGGTCTGCTAAGCACTAGTTTTCTGCAGTCGCGCGTTAACTTTTGTTCAAACACCTTCAAGTCCTCTGACTCAGCCGCCTTTCCGTTGTGCCATTCCTTTCCTTGGGGATTATGGAAACTGCAAACCCTATGAATAAGTGTGTGTGTGTGTGTTTGTTTTCTTTGCTCAAACTGGAGCACCTGGAGGGTTTTTAACCGGGGCAGTGTGAGGGGTTGTAGATCGTGTTCGCCGATCGTTTGCAAGAATTGGGCGCACGAACGCGAGTGTCCAAGTAATGGCGCCGCGGGGAGTACGTACTGGATGGAAATAACGCGGAAACTTCAAGTCTGTACTATATGTGGTAGGCACTTTCCTGCGCAGCTGCAGCGTTTCCTGAGGTCTGCAGCTTGTGTTGCATTGCTTGGTTTTCCAAAGTGATTTGTTTGGGGGGTCCATCATGGATTCGCACCTTGAGGGTGGAGCTCTGTTTTCGCGACCGTGCAAGGTGCCCCTCACACTCTGTGTCTTAGAGTTCCTTTCAATTTAATTTCACGCACCAGGGGCTGGTTGTCGCAAGTACCAGCCCAACGGCACTGAAATCGGTGGGGACGCTCACCGACGTACCTGCGCCTGAGCCTTTGTGAGCCTAAGTAAGACCAACGCTGTCTCATGCGTTGTTTTCTTGCGTTAAAGTGCTACTGCAGTAAAGGTCGCTTCTGAACTTGTGCTCATTCACTTGAGTTCTTTATCTAAGTGTGTCCAGCGGCATCTTCCCACCGCGGTATGCCATGTGATCCCTTCGCTTCAGTCCTTTGGCGCAGGTGACCACTTCCGACTCCTGCGTTTGAATCGTGAGCAACTTTCCGACCAAAAGCTTTTGCTTTGAAAACGTGCCAATTTTAGCGCCGAGTGCACAGGGAAGTTTTCTCCAGAACCTTCGTTTGTCTGGTTTTTCTTCCGGCTTGTTAGGTTGCCTTGAGGTCGTTTTAGTCGACCCACCACCTCACACACACAACCCTACCCCTCAGTTTTCTTTCTGTTCTCTCATGCCTTTTGTTTCTCTTTCTCACACACGCCCCCGCAGTTTGTTAGGTTTTTCTTCAGGCTGTTAGGTTGCTCTTGAGGTTTAGTCGACCCCGTTTCACACACGCAACCCTGCTCCTCGGTTTTCGTTTCGTTCTCTCTTTGCTTCTTTTTCTAGGTCTGACTCTCCTCCAGAGGCTTTTAGGTGTGTAACTGTAACCAGGTCTTTTCAGTCAAGTGAAAGTTGGCTTCCACCAGAGCGCCAGTCATCGCGTGTTGTGTGTGTCAAGTGTGCCACACTCTGTGTCTGAGAGTTCCTTTCAACTTTCAACTTAATTCATGCAGCAGGGGGGCTGGTTGTTCATGCAAGTACCAGCCCAACGAAGAGGCTTGCGTCGAACACTGATATTGGTGGGGACGCTCGCCGACGTACCTGCGCCTGAGCCTTTGTGAACCTAAGTAAGACCAACGCTGTCTCATGCGTTGTTTTCTTGCATCAAGTTTGTCAAGTCCTACTGCAGAGAAGGTCTAATGCACTCTCGAGTCACCTTCTGAACTTGTGCTCATTCACTTGAGTTCTTTATCTAAGTGTGTACGTGACCTTGGAACCAGGTTGTTTTTTGACATTTACTGTTTCACATGTACTGTAACACGAACAGAGTTCGTGGAATCATTGCCAGCGAAGACTCCGGTGATGGATTACCTTGCGCTTCCTGTTGGCGCCTGTTTTTAGCGAGAACAAGACGACCAGCCGTTGGAACCATTATTCAGGGTTTTTTGTTGTCACTAGTAGCGATGGCCTCCAACCTACTTGCTGGCCTCCACCTAATAATCTAATAGCATCCTAATACTCCATACTCATTTTGTTTCTGCATGTGCGGATGTGTTTGTTAATCGATCGTGACGAACTTGACGAACGTTTTGACATTTTGTCAAATATTTCCATGGATGGCGTGCCAGGAGGTGTATATGCAGTCCATGATGACGATGCGTGGGGTGAACCCTGTGGACTGTAGACAACTCTTTGACGTGGTTCGCTCTCTTCCAACAATCCTCTGCAAAGCGCTTGTTTGCCACAAACGTGACAAACTCCAGACTTTCCGCCTTTAAAGCCCTCGTCCCTTCTTTTAAGGGCCCTTCTCATGTGTTCTCTGCGCTCTTCCATGCTCCTCGGGCCTCCTTAACCTTTCCTTTCTCTTTCTCTTTGTTCTTCCCTTTTCCATCCTTTCCTTTGCCCTTGCCGCTTTTTGTTCCTTCCTGCAACGATTTTCCAAGTAGTCCACCTCCATTGGTGTAGCCTCATCTGCTGGAAACCTTCGTAGGCAACACAAGGCTGTTGGAGCTGTCCCACTTCGTGGTCACGGATTCGCATACTGATGCCCTGAAATCCTCTCGTACTCGTTATATAAGGAGTGCGTCAAATTGTGCAGATACCGTGTTTCGTGGCTCTCCCTTTGGTTTCATCCGTCATGTCATCGAGGTCATACGTTGCCTCCAAGTCCTTCTCCACATGGTCCATATCATTTGCCATGGTGGGGTCATTTTCTTCTCTTGTAGTTCAAGAAGGGCAATTTCCAATCTCCCCGGCCCCAAGACTTGACTGAAAGCCGCTCCAACGCACTGGCCACCAACCTCAAGGTTTCATCTGCCAAACCTTGGGATAAAACGTTTTTGCGGTCACAGTGGGCCCTGCAATGTCCTGGTTGAACTCTAGTCACTAGTCCGCTATAAAGACCAACAGATCCCAGATTTGCCGATTGTACACCAGCTCGCACAACTTCTTTTGTGGTGTCTCGTCCCTCAACTTTGCGGGCACCGCCACCAAAATCCTATTCAAAGTTCAACTAAGTTTCTCTCCTTTTTTCTGCCACCTGATTCTGTGGTAGTACCTTCTCTTCAGCTTGGTGCAGGTCAGTTGGACTGGAAGTATTGAATCTCCTGGATCGCTGTCGCACCTGCCCCTCTCCAGCTAGTCCAGCAAGCAAAAGTAGTTCCATCAACCACTGCCTGGATCCCATCGTGCTCGTGGTGCTACGGGCACTTACGGCCAGGGCTCCTACCATGAAAACTGTGTGGGCGATCTATCTTCCTCTTAAAAGGGTTGTGCCGACATGTTCATGTTTGTGTGACTGCTTGCTCACCTTTTGAATGTTTGTCATTGCCGGGCAAGAGTGTTACACACTTATAAGTCTAACAAGAGTATCAGAGTATCTCGCAAAACCTTCCCGCGAGTGAGGCCTGCAACAGTCTCACATCGGAGTCTTATAGGAGTGTGACGTTGCGTACCAACATAGTGATAGATCTTAATAGATCAAATCTTGCAATCCGTGCTGCGTACAGTAGTTTCATAAGAACGCTGGCCGCATGCAGGGCAAGCATACCACGACTCTCCTGCGAAAGGCAAGGAGTGTTGTTCTCAAGAGAATGCAAGAATGCACCGCAAAGGTGTTTTCAAGCCGACAGACCAGAGTGTCCTCGAAACAGGGTCGTTCCAAAGTGCCACACAAAACTGTAGTAAAAGAGCGCCGCAAGAGCGTCCTGTGAGCGTATTGAGCTGTGAAAAAGTGTCGCGTAAAAGGGTTTTATGATAAGAGTGTGCAGCGAACTACGCATGTGTCCCGGACAAGTGTCGCACACACACACACAAGAGAGTCCTACAAGAATATCACCCAGAGTTTCCACGAAGGCTTTAAGAGTTTTGTGCAATAGTGTAATCAGAAGAGTGTGGCACGAGAGTGTCCTTGCCTCTTTGGGCATTGCCCGGTAAAAGTATCAAAACGAGTCTCGTGTGTTGCTTTCGGGTCGGTGGTTTCTACATGTCAGGTTTATGTGCGCTTTGTTTTTGAGCGTCGCTACAGTTGCATACATGCGTGTTCGCAGACTCTATTGTCACCTAGGTCCTTGCAAAATTCTATGAAGTGGGATGAAGACCGTTTCGGCCTAGAGTACGACTTGGACATGTACAACATTGTGGCGGTCAAGGTGGTATAAGTGGTATATATTTGTACGTATTCGTAGAGTTGGGGCTAGCGCTGAAGCTTTGTTCAAAGACTTTCTCACCACAAAATTACGCTCTTTGGTGACTTCTCCTATTCCGATTCCGGAAAATGGAGCGCCCGTTGGCGCAAAAACCATCTTGTTTTGTGAAGGACTTCAACATGGGAGCCATGGAGAACAAGAGTCTGAACGTGTTCAATACTTCTCTTACCTTGGCGCGGGAAGACACAGCCACTGACGATGATTACGAGCGCATCGAGGGTGTGATTGGCCACGAATACTTCCACAACTGGACATGGTTTTCCAGTTGCTATCCCAATTGTGCCAAATTGAGAAATTGCTCAATTTCTGGGCTGGACTCGCAACAGACGGCTACTTCTGTTATTCTTGAAAACAAATTAATGTCGACACTGCAACAACGTCAGCGTCAGGACTGGGAATCGTGTGACTTGCCGCGACTGGTTTCAGCTGACTCTAAAGGAGTGCAGCCTGGCCTAAAAGGTTGTGGATCGAGCAGGCTTTGCAGTGACTGGCGTGACACGGGCCAGGAAAGCGAATGATGCATTGTTTCAATAGCTTAGTGGCAGATTTGTTCATGTGACCTTGACTGATCTTGGTCTTGTGCGTCTCTCATATCTGATCCTAGAGAGGGAAAAGCAAGCGCATTGGCAAAGAATAGTTACGAAAGAATTCATTCAGCTCGCTTCGCTTGTGCCGAGATTGCAGGAGGGTCTCACAGTCTACCGAGACCAGGAATTCTCCGCCGACATGGGCTCTCGTGCGCGGAAGCGTATCGAGGACGTGCGGATCCTCCGAGCTGCCCAGTTTCCCGAGGAGCCGAACATGGGAGGAACGAGGGAACGGTTAAAGGCTTGGGCCATGGGATACTTGGGCACCCACAAAACCTGCAGACTCCCCCAAGAGGCTTTGCGCGGAAACTGAATTTACTGTGAATGATAGTGCGAAAGTGAATTTGGGAAATAGAGGCTCAGCGTTTGATGACGGAGGTGTTACATGAGGTTATGACAATTTCACGGCATCATACAACGCTACAAACAATGTCAGAGTTTCATGCACAGTCAAGCACCTGACATGTCCGTCGATCACGCACAACCCTTTCGGCTACAAGACCCCGTGTTTGAGGAAAATCCTAGAGCGCGCGCGCCTTTCATGGTAGCGGAGCGCTGGCCGTAGCGTGCCACGCTCCGACTGCCCACGACACCACCACGAGCACTACGAGCCCCAGGGCATTTGGGGCCACGACGAACTCTCAGGTTGGCAGGAGCAAGAACTCGAAGTGGACAGGCATTTGGCTTGTGGAGCTGATCATCTTGGCCGGACTGGCCGGTGGTGCCGGGGCAACAGCGATCCAGGAGGTGAACTACTACCAGCCCAATCGCTTGGTGGCCAAGACTGGCAAGGTCAAGCATCGACACTTCCACACCCAGTGCGTCGAGTGTGAGGACTACTTGGCTCGCATCCGGTGGGTCAAGGGAGAGAAGGCCACTCGCGCCTCGGTCATACTTCAGAAAAGGGTTGAAGGGAAGGTTTCGGCTGATCTCAACGAGATCCTAGTGGTTGTTCCCTCAAAGTGGAGGTTCATCTCGAAAGTAGAAACCCTGCGGGACGAAACACCACCAGAGAAGATCTGTGAGCTGGTTCGAAACTGGCACTTCTGGGAGAGCTTGGTCTATAGTGGATTGGAGTTCAAGCCAGAAGGAGAAGTACACGATCCCCTTTGCACGACAAAGGCGTACTACCCCAAGGCCAAGAACCTCAGGTCAATGGCTGAAGAAAGCCTTCGTCTGGTGGCCACGGCTTTGGAGAGGCTGACAGTGAATCAAGCAGCCCAAGGTTGGGCGCGTCATCTCAAAGCTCCTGATGTGTTCAAACCTGATGGCAGAGACAATGAGCTCAAGTCATGGGGAGATTGGAAGTTCTCGTTCATGAACTACATCAAAGGCATTGACCCCACGATGGCCAATGACATGGACCTGGTCGAGAAAGACTTGGAGGCCAACTATGACATGGATGATATGACAGATGAAACCAAGAGCCGGGCAGTTCGACTCTACAGCTTGCTGACGTCCTACCTCAGACAGAGGCCATTGAAGCTGATTCGGCATGTGGAAAAGGAGAATGGGTTCAAGGCGTGGCAAATCCTATTGCGGGAGATGCAACCAGCGACCCGTGCGAGGGCATTGGCTCTGCTGAGTCAGTTGTCCCGGATTCAATTTGCTGAAGGCAAAACGGTGTCAGAACAACTACCTCAGTTTGAGGCACTCATCAACGAGTATGAGAGGATTTCTGGCCATGGATACAGCGATGATGCTAAGGTGGCAGCGGTGCGATTGGCTTGTCCGATGCAAATCAGACAGCGCTTGCGTCTATGGATCACGGACAGCACAAACTACGAGCAGCTCAAGGACCGGATCATACAGCTTGAGGCCGTGACGACAAAATCGGACAGCGCGAACTCTCTCATGCTGCCAACACGGGCTGCCACAGATGAGGCTACACCAATGGAGGTCGACTATGTGGGCAAGGCATGGGAGAAAGGTGGCAAGAAAGGAGGTAAAGTGAAGGGCAAAGATGCCAAAGGGAAGATGAAAGGAAAGGACAAAGGCAAGTCCAAAGATGGAAAAGGTTCTTGGAAGAGCCACGAGAAAGGGAAGTCCACCTGGGACAAGGGACCTGGCAAGAAAGGCAAGCCGACAGAGAAAGGTTCCAAGGGTGGCAAGTCGACTGGAGCTTGTCATCTATGCGGCAAAGTCGGACACTTCGCCAAAGACTGCTGGAAACGAGTCAACCAAATCGAAGAGCAGATCAATGGTGGAGCTAGTTCGTCTTCGACTGGTGCAGGTCCATCGACAGTGCAAGGCTCAACGGCCAATGTGAAGACGGTGAGAATTGAGACTCCGCCAGGAACACCATCAATGGAAGTCTTCGACCTGACAACACCCAGAGGCAGTGGCGACAATTTCCCATGGCGAGTTGGGATGATTCGCTGTGAGCAGGATGATGACCATGAGACGGCGGATGAAGAGTACATGGATTGTCATGAGCCCAAAGTTGATGTTCCAGCTGGAGTCAGCATAGTGGCCATGGACTTACAGGACGACGAGGAGTTCTATGTCAACATGGTCAAGATTGATGACATGAATGCTGACAATGGCCTGGTGGCCCTGGATACTGGCGCAGACGTGTCAGTGTTGCCGAGGACCTATGCTTCAGTGGGCCAATGGCAACAAGGTTCCAGCGAGTTGAAGATGATTGATGCGCAAGGCAAAAGAATTGCTCATGATGGAGTGACCAGAGTCCGCGTTCGCATAGAAGACAAGAAAGGAAAACCCTTTGAGCTAGTGGAGGAGTTTGTCCTGGGCAATGTGCAACACCCCATCCTATGCGCAGGCAAACTACTGAGACGTGGCTGGAGTCTGCAGAGATCAGATGATGGGCTAGAACTTCGACATGATGAGAAAGGGATTGAAGTTCCATGAATACAGAACGAAATTCCTTGCAGCTTGAGGCCAGGATTTGTGTGGTGAGTGAGGCTATGTCGACATCGAGCCCTATGACATCCACCACGAGCCCTACAGCAAGAGTGCTGGCCTTGACAGGCTATTTGAGCAAGTATGTGCAGGATTTGGAGTTAGCTCCTGGCTGGCATAGACTGCCAAACGGAGTGGTGGCCTACAGTGACCCAGTCGCTGTCAGATTGGCAGACCCCAAGGACAACATCGAGAAGGCCTACAAGTCCAGGTTGACACTTGTGAAGGAAAAGAATGGCCAATGGACGCAATTGGAGAAGGAGGATGACATCACAGAAGCAAAGCCACACATCTTCAGGAAGATTGGCTTGAACGATGAGCCGCATCGTACTCTGAGCTTCTTCGCCCCTGCGAAGTTTCGAGATTACTGGGAGCCAGATTCAGAAGTTCCAATTTCTCCCTGCCCTGAGCCTGAGGATGCGATCAAGGCAACAGCATGGTCTGCTGATGATGGTGGAGAGATCGAAGAGATGGAACAGCAGGTGGAGCACCATGACATCGAGAAGAGAGTGATTGCGCAACATCCGCATGAAGTCGAGTTGGATGAGACGCCTTTCTCGGAAAAGACTTCGGTGAAAGACCTGCAGATCGCATGCAAAGAGCGCAACTTGGCATACACTGGAAGCAAGAAGCGACTCCTCAAAAGGTTGACTACCTTCAAGATCAATTTGGAGACAGTCAATTGCAAACCGCATCTACAAGGAGCAGGAGAGACTTCCAGTGACCATTGGACAACCAAAGTTGCCGAGCTTAGCAGATCAGGAACGACACTTCATCACCCACATGCCCTACGCTGGATGGTGCCAGGCTTGTGTGGCAAGCCGTGCGAAAGAGGACAAGCGCCCAGCACGGGAAGAGCAGGAAGATCAGGGCAAGAATGCCATTCAGATGGACTTTTGCTATACGTACACTGATGAAGATCAACGAGGTGATGAGCCATCGGTTGGAAAAGTCCAAGAGCGACAAGATCAGTATGGGACAGTCCTGATTTTGACGAGCTCTGAGACAAAGGCGGTGCATGCAGTGCCGGTGCCTTCCAAAGGGACTGCAAGCCTCAAGACGGTCACGGAGGAGGTCACTCGCTTTGCGCTGGAGAATTCTGCCTATGACCAGTGCATCTTCCAGGCTGACCCTGAGAGAGCGACTCGACAGATTTTGAGGTCTGTGCAACAAGTCCGCAGCATAATGGGACTGAAGACAGAGATCCGTATGACTGGCACTGGACAACACCAATCCAACGGGCAGGTTGAGAGAGCAGTTCAAACAGTGAGGCGGCTGGCAAATTGTCTCAGGACATTCGCTGAGGATCGAGCAAGGTTGAGAATCCTTGGATCATTTCACCTCTATCCATGGAGCTTCAGGTATGTTGCTTTCCTGATCAACCGCTTCCGTGTCTTGGAGAAATGCGACAAGACGAGCTTTGAGCTGGCGACAGGGCATGGATACGATGGGAAGTTAGCATTGTTTGGAGAAAGCGTCCTGTTCAAGAAGATTGTCAAGTTCAAAGGAAACAACATCTTCGAACGTGGAGTTTGGGCAGGAAAACATCCTGGAACGACACACATGTGATCCTGACGCCAGAAGGAGCATTTGAGTCCAGGACGATCAGGAGATTGGCAGTTGGTGAGAACTTCATTGCAACCGACATTGTGATCTCTAAGGGGCTTCCATGGAGTTATTCTCCTCAGGGCATTCTGATGCGACACGCTGGACAGACTCAGCGCACGCGACAGCCCACGCTGGAGGCAGAAGCAGAAGAGAGCGAGATGAAGGAGATTGCCACAGAGGTTGCAGCAGGGATGGTTGGACCAACGCCAGGGCTGAAGACACCAGTTCCAAACACACCTGGCATTGAGGCGCCCAAGACACCCAATGTTGGTTCAATGGCACCAGCGACTCCCGGGCCGACATCAGCGTCTGGTGAAGTAAGTGGCTTCCATGGCATTGAAGAGACCTTTGGAGACAGCAGAAGAAAGTGAGCCCAAGAGATGGGACGATACATCGTCACAGCGCAAGGCGCACGAGAAAAGAGAGCCAGAGGTCAATGTGGAGGAGTTGGAGAATGAGCAACGAGAGCATGGCCATGATGAGCCAATGAGGGCATTGGAGGCGTCGCCGCGTGGTTCACCGAGCTCACACTTGTACCCTCCGGCATATGCTGGCATCAATGCAGTGAGCATGGAGATCCATGGAGATGAAGAAGTTGATTTGGAGTTGATCCCAAATCTTCTTTGCATATGGAGGAGAAGAAGACGAAGATCCTCCTGAGGTGACTGAAGAGCGCTTGGCTGAGTTGGATGCCCAAGCACGAGAGAAGGAGATTCAACGAATGATGGAGATGCCCGCCATGATCGAGAGTGATGAGGAGGAGGTGATCAGAAGCGAGGGCTACATCATATCGACCAAAGAGGTGTACACTTGGAAACATCGCCTCGAGATGGGAGGATGGTTTCGCCGTGCGAGATTGGTGGCACGACAGTTCAGGATCCATAGACCTCGAGCAAACATTCGCTCCCACGTCGATGATGCTGGTACCCAAACTTTTGATTCATTTGATTGTGAACGTCTTTCCTCACTTCAAGGCCATGACTTTGGACATCAAAGATGCATTTTTGATGGCGCCACAGCCGACTGATGAAGTGGCTTTTGTAAGAGTGAATGACCGCATCTTTCGACTCCTACGATGCTTGCCAGGCCAACGCACAGCTGCGTCACAGTGGTTCCAACTGTTTGCCAGAACATGCTTGCAGTTTGGCATGGTGCAGGACATGATGCAACCTACGCTGATGATGTTGGCAAAAGAACTGTATGTCACAGTGCATGTGGATGACGTGTTCATGGTTGGCACTGAGGAAAAGCTGCTGCAGTTCGGCGTCTACTTGAAGAAGGAGATGGACTGGAATGTCGAGGAAAAGGGACCATTCCAAGCCGGCGACAAGTTCCACTACCTGAAGAGGCAGTTTGATTGGTGGAGGAAGAGCTGCACCATCAGGTGTGACCACAAGCAGTATGACAGCTTGGAGAAAGATGTGACCAACCTCCATGCACGATTCTACAGGAAGACTCCCATGAGCAATGACTTCGGCAAGAAAGACGAATCCCCGGAGTTGGATGGCAGTGACATCACGAAGTTCAGGAGCATTGTGGGGAAGTTGATGTACATCTCAGGTGAACGGCCGGACGCACAACATGCAATCCAATGTCTTGCCAGGCACATGGCAAAACCAACTCAGATGGCCGTGAAGAATGCAGAGCGTGTGGTGTCCTACTTGTTCGGCACGAATGGCTATGGGGTGATGATAAACTCGAGAAAAAGAGGCCAGTCAGTGATGGACGTGAGAGAAGAGGAAGAGGCCATTGAGCAGCCGCAACATCTGCTTGAGGTGATCACAGACGCCGACTATGCAGGCAACAAGAATGATCGAAAATCAACAAGTTCGTTTCAGATCTTCATGGGCGGCAACCTGATCGAGTCTAAGGTTCGTGCTCAGAAATCCATCGCATTGTCATCTGGAGAATCAGAGTTTGTGGCTATGGTGGCTGGAAGCTCTGAAGGACTACTTGTACGTCACCTTTGGAACAAGATGACAGGCGTGCAGTGCACGTTGAAGGTGCGCTCAGACAGCTCTGCGGCACGATCAATGGTGCAGAGGCAAGGGATCGGCCGTGTCCGACATTTGGACGCATCCCTGCTATGGATCCAACAGAAAGAGAAGGAGAAGGTGCTGACGGTAGCTCCTATCCCAACAGACTTGAACTGCGCCGATATTGGGACCAAGAACTTAGCAAAGAAAAGGCTGCTGGGATTGCTCTTCATGCTGAAGATGGTGAATATGGTCAATGATCGTGTGGGTGAAGAAGAGTTTGAGGACCTGGAACGCAACTACCAGGTCAAAAGCAGCCAAAGGCAGATTGGGAACAAGAAGGCGCTTCGTGTCTGCTTGCTACTCCTCTTGGCGAACTTGGAGAAGGCCTCAGGAGCGACCATGGAGTCCTACACGGAGGATAGCCATTTTGGCTGGTCATGGACGGTCTTTTGTGTACGTGCACTCTTTGGGGTCTTGAGCATTTTTGCTTGGCTTCGGGACTTCATCTTGGTGTTTGTGAAGGGTGGCATCACCCACTTGCTGGACTTCAAGAAGGTCACGATCCAGAATGATGAGAGCACGGTGAGAGTGGTCCTGGAAAAGAAGGATCAAGAAACACAGGCAACATGCCATGTGGAAGCTGAACTGAGGACAGCTTATGACCGTGAGTTGGTGGAGATGCAGGCAGAACATGTGAAGCAGGACATGTACATAGAAGAGCTTGAAGAACGAATCAACATGCTGAAAAAACAAGCTGAAGAACACTTCCAAATGTTTCAATTGGAAACAAAGCACGCCCAAAAGCTCATGCGACAGATGGCCAATTTGAAGAAAACACCATCGGGCAAGGTGCTGCATTTTTCTCCTAGCTGCCCGCACTTTGCGAAGGCGGCCGAGATGGAGCTGTGCAGAAAGTGCATGATCGATGGGGGCGTGTCAGAGTTTCATGCACAGTCAAGCGCCTGACATGTCCGTCGATCACGCGCAACCCTTTCGGCTACAAGACCCCGTGTTTGAGGAAAATCCTAGAGCGCACGCGCCTTTCAAACAATGTTTATGCCGATAAAAGCTTTGGCAGACAGAAAGTCAAGGGCGATTTGAATGTTCGGGCAGTGGGCCCCCGCCCGCAACAGCCGTGGTGTTTCGTGCCTTTTTCTGACGTTTGTGTGAAGAACGTTGTCATCGATTTCGCAAGATAGTCTTCGGTTTCACAACACTGTCATCGATGTATGGATGTTGTCATTGATGAGTCGAGCCATTGACATGTGGTGTGGGGCTGTTGGGTCGTGCTGGAATGATGACGTGGATGTCATGTGGATAACATTGTCATCCATTTCGTAAGACAATGTATTCCGCAAGTTTCCAGTGAGTGTGAAGGTTGAAGGTCACAAAGTGCCTGACCCAGCTTTGACTGACATCATTTTTCAATTTGTTTTCCGACAGTCTGTGGCGCCTGCACCCCCAAAAGAGTTCTATATATTCAGCTTTGAAAGCATTGCTGAAAGCACACGGAGCCTGGAAGAAGAATGAAAAGGAGCAGCTTTGGCAACTGTGCTTTTCACACCTGATGCAAACCCCCATTCCTGTGGTCTTGATCCCAAAAAGACATTTGGTGACATAACTCTGAAAGATGCAAGAACATTGATAGTTGCAACTTTAGTTGACTTTTGAAGTGTCGGTTCTACTGGGAAGTACATTTCCCCAATGGAATTACACTGTTCAGCAATTGCAATCATTGAGCGAACCTTCCCCAATGGAACTATGTACATACAGGCAACTTCGCAGATGAACAATGCAACTTGGCACCACGGCCTGATGTGGGCCGTGGGCCCTGTAGTTGGGATACTTGGGGTGGACTGCAAGCTTCAATGTTAATAGTGCAGATAGGAAGCGCTGCCTTTTTGGTAGCCTCATTAAACTCCAGGTAATTTCGGTTTGTGCTTGTGTTTTTTTGCTAAAGGCGGATCATTTTCTCAGGGCAAAGCCGCATTCGCAGACATCAACAATCAATCGCGAGTGAGACCACCCGGGAAAAGCAATACTTATATACTGTAATCGGAAGATCCTGCGACAAACGCTGGCTTAATGAAGCTGGGAGTGACGGGGGCCTGGGGCGTGTGTTAACACGAGCAGCTTGAGGACAACGGTCCTATGGCACATCCAATCCGCCCCGAGAAGTACGCAGCTATCGACAATTTCTATACAGCCACCGTCTACAACAAGGGTGCTGAGGTGAGGGGTGGGGCCGGGACGATCGAGACCAAAGGTGCAGGAGAAGAGAGTGGCGACAAACTGCGCAAAAATGTTGTTTCCATTCGTCGAACTACCCAGCCAATCTTTTTATAGGCCTAGTATTCCTTGCTCCTTGCCGCCCATTGGCTTTTGAGGTGATCCGCATGTACGAGACCTTGCTGGGCCGCGAGGGCTTTCGCAAGGGCATGGACTTGTACTTCGAGCGCCATGATGGCAGCGCGGTGACCTGTGACGACTTCCGAGCTGCCATGCAGGAGACACTTCTGGAAAAGGTGAACAACAGGCAGTTTGGAAGGAATGTATCTACATGTATCTTTACATAGGGGTGAGACTTGTAGTTGTAGTGAAAGTCGACTCAAAGAACTAAACTTCACAGAGCGGAATAATATCCAATCACACTTCAATCCATTTTTGCGCTTGTGACCCACGGCTCCAGCAGCCAGTGCCTACCCCTGGTGAGCCATGGGGGTGGTAGATTTTGGCCAAGAGTATGGACATCGTGTGATTTGGCCCTCCAAATAACATGATTTCTGTACGCTTAGCAGCAGAAAACATTGAATTTTTGAGGGTTTGAGTTGGTGAGTTGAGTTGTGTGTTCTGCACGGCAACGAGCTATGCAAACGAACTTTCCACCAAGGCCTCGCCAAACCGCATAGCCTAGCGCAACGACAACACCGCATAATTTTGCTATGCCGTGTGCCAAGTGACAATGTCACCCCGTACTACAAAGTTGATCAACTTTGCCAGTTCTAAGCATTCTAAGCCTTTAGCTCCCAGAAGCTAGCAAACTTGCCAGTTCCGAGCCCAGAGCTTCCAGAATCTACTTCCCACACTACATGACTACAAAGTCGCCAACTCTGAGCCCGCAGCTCCCATATCCTCAAAGTTGCCAGTTCTGAGCCAGGATCAGTTCTGAGCAGTTCGTGCGAGAATTCCTCAAAACTTTAATTTATGCGAGACTTCCGCCGAACATGAAAAGCGGAAAGAAAACGTGAAAGTCGTCATGTTTGAGCAAATCGCGTTGGCGACCTGCTGAGGAGGTTCACCCAGCGCTGGTGAATCATCCCAAAACCCTCACGTTTGACATTGTTTGACCGTCTGACAAGCACGACCCCCGCAGAGGCTCACTGCAGACCGGCGAATCCGCCAAAGCCCTGACGCGTAAGTGCTTGACACGCGCACGATCCACACAGCTTTTTTGCCCAACTTTGCCGGTCAGAGAGAGAGAGAGAGAGAGAAGATATAAAGAAGAGGTCCATCATGGTCCATTGCATGTTTTTTGCGCACAGGCCCAAGGCCTAAGGTCTTGAAATAGCCAGTCTAGAAGTAGCAGATGCGGAAGCAGCAGCAGCAGCAGCAGCAGCAGTTGTTTTATGAATGTACTAAGTAGCAGTAGCAGGTCTTGATCTAGGCTAGTGTGAGCGGCAGGTCTGCAAATAGCATGTTTAGAAAAAGAGGATGAAGTAGCGTGTCTTGAGCTAGCATGCTTTTCAAGAGAAGGTCCTTAGCACAGCTCCCAGAAAAAGGGCAACTAAGAAGCCTGAAAAAATGTACCCAAGTCTGGGATCAGTCAGTGAAAGGGCTTCGGGCCAACACAGGGAATCCTCAGAACAGGTCTCGGACCAATGGTTTGTACAGCTGTCCATCCTGCCATCCGGAAAGTTTTCATTTTCGGAACCACAATCAATGAATCTGCAGGATGCGAATGGCCGTGATCTTACCCAGTTTGAGCGGTGGTATTTGCAGGCAGGCACACCAACCGTGAAGGCCACCGATTCTTGGGATGCGGAGACGGGAACCTATTCGTTGACACTTGGGCAGAAGGTCCCAGACACTCCGGGTCAAGTGGAGAAGTTGCCCATGCAGGTACCTGTTCGGGTGCCCTTGGCAGCATGGCAGAGTAGGTTCTGGTGTGACCTGTGGCAAGAATCATGCTCCACATTTTTGCATTGATTCTTGTTCTTTTGAGTTTTGAGTGCTTGCAAGTCTTTGCTTCATCAGTCTTTGGGATTGCAAACATTCCTGATGCGGCGCATGTCTTGAAACGACTATCAGGTTTACATCATCTAGTACTAGTAGCATTCTTCTTCAACATGTGGGAGGCATCTTTGTTGTAGTGACGTAGTGTTTTGAGATCCGCACATATTTGCCTGAGGTAGGGCTTTTGGACCGGGAGTCGGGGAAGGAGCTTTTGTCTGACACCGTGCTGGAGCTGACAGAGGAAGGGTTGCAACAAGAGAAGGATTCAATGGATAACAGAGGATTCCGCGGATTCAACTCCGAGTCCAACAAACTGCACGAAACAGGCAGGTTGCATCAGGGTTACAGATCTTTGATGATCTTTGACCGGATCGATCTGGACACTGCTGAGTCACACAGCTGACTTGCTCCAGGAGTCCAAGACCTTCGAGCTCAAACTGGAGGAAGGTGCGACTGGCAAGCCTGTTCCCTCGCTGCTACGAGGGTTTTCGGCACCGGTGAAGCTCGAGCGACTTGGCAAGATGCGGCGAGATTGGATCGAGGAGACTCACTTTGGGGAGATTTTTTGAGAGAATTGCAATCGTGCAAGCTGTGTGACATGGGGGAAGCAGCGCTATAAGTACGGTAACGCTTTTTAAATATATGGTGGCCTGGCCAGAGCAATCGGCTCCGGAGGTAGTATAAAATACCTGTTCCCACCGTATATTTAAAGGGTCTGGCCGGGCCAGAGCAATCGGCCCCGGAGGTAGTATAAAATACCTGTTCCCACCGTATATTTAAAATGTAATCCCTGTTGACATTTCTTTTACGAAAAGGGATTGAGGCCCTTACAGAGAGGCCATGTTGTAACGAGGCAGTTTTTGGCACCTACAGAACCAAGACCGGACCACCAAGGCCACCGAGCACCACCAACACCGCCTAGACCGCCAGAATCACCACCAAGACTACCAAGACCTCGGAGACCACCAAGACCGGACCACCAAGACCACCAAGACCACCAAGAGTAGACTGCCTCAGGACACCAAGGCCACCGAGCACCACCAACACCGCCTAGACCGCCACAATCACCACCAAGACCACAGAGACCACCAAGACCGGACCACCAAGACCACCAAGGCCACCAGCCCCCAAGACCACCAAGAGTAGATTGCCACAATCACCACCAAGACCACCGGGACTACCAAGACTAAAGTAGTCTGAGCGAGATACTCTAACATTACATGACCTTCTACTTAAGTAGTCGAAACGAGATAGGGCCTCCACATAATAGATTGCGCGTTTGAGCTCAGTACCAAATAAATGCCGCCGCACATATGTAAGCTGACCGTATATTTAAATCGTACCGTATATTCATTCCGTATGTTTAAAGGGTCGGGCCGGGCTGGCAAAAACCTTGCCGGAGGTAGTCTAAAATACCTGTTTACCTGTTTTAAAAATCGTATATTTAAAAAGCGATACCGTACCGTACCAACAAGAGTCCACCCAGCAAGACAGTGGCCACTTTTCTTCAGTAACCAGTAACCAGTCCGAATGCAACCGGAAAGATTCCCTGATACAGTCTTCGTTTCACCGGCGTTTGACATGCACAAGCAGAACCTTTCGTTTGCCAGCGTTTGTGGATGTTGCGTGATGCCTTGTGATGTTGCATGACTTGTTTGTCTTAGGTATGACTATAGTGACGAGGAGCTCTCTTTGCTGGCGGCCTTCGACACAGACTCCTTCAATCGATGGGAGTCCATGCAGCGGCTGGGGTCGAAGGCCCGAGCATTGATTTTGCTGTGGAAGTGCGCAGGGCTAAACAGGTATATATATATATATCACGAAAGGTAGCCCTTTAGGGGATACCTTGAGTTTGACTTGCGAAGCAAGTGTCGGCGAGTCCGGGTCTAATAATTGATCATTCAATTCAACCCCTTCCCCCTCGAATGAAGTCAGGATTCATGTATGGACAAGTCCAAAAAGGGCTGTGGCCCTGCACAGATCTTGAGAGGACAGTGATTTTGCTTGGCCTGCAGCCTCAAAGGTTCGAAATATGGTGCGCCATGGCGCAGCTGGATTTCTAAACTGCCGCGGTTCGAGCGGACAGGTGAGAATCAAAGGTGTTGTTGTGGAAGACCTCGGAGAAGAAGTGGTTCTAGCCTTTGATCCTAGCCTGGCCTCTCAGGTGACCAATTCGTTGGTGCATAGTTGTGAGGGTGGTGAGTCAGTGGCCTTTTTGAAGGTGAAGTTGAATGCTGTTAGCTTAGTCACGCCTGAAGGTTGGGCCAGCAGAGCTGGCGGAAGGCCACCCGCACCCGACTTTGCCCAAAAGGCATGGTCCAAAGCTGCCAAGGACCTCGTCAGCAGCGAAGCCGAGCAGTTTGGCCCAAAAGGGCAGGCTCGAGCCCAGGCCACTTCTCGAACAGACCCTGCAGCCGACGACCTGAGCAAGCAGCTGAAGCGACTGCAGGCCACCTTCCAGGGTCGAGGAGAGGAGTCCAGCGGGGGGAGCGAGAGTTCAGAGTCGGAGGAGGACGACGAGCTCATACCCCCCACGCCAAGCAAAAGCAAGAGCAAGATGTTGCCTCCCGGCGCCCCTTCGAGCCGAAAAGAAAAGAAAGTGGAGAAAGACAAGAGAGAGCCCGACATGAACATGTTACTGCAGCAGGCCATGTTCCAGCAGTTGACCGGACCCAGCAGCAGCTCAGGGGCTGCAAACCTGACCCCGATGCTGCTGATGATGTTGACGCAGCAGCGACAGCAGCTTCAACAGTCTTTTCGAAAAGCCAAAAGCGCAAATCGAAGAAAGAGCGAGCCTTGGAACCCCTTGGTTCGTCCACCTCCGGATCCTCAAGCGACGAGCTCGACAAGGACTCGGGAATGAAAAGCGTGGTCACTCTTCATCGACTTCAGCGCCGCATCAAAAAGAGGCCGGGAAGCATCATTCGCGAGTTCGAGGAGGAGTTGACCGAGGAACTTGGAATCGTCGAGGGACAGGCCTGGACTGTCAAAGAATGGCTGCGCCGCCAGAGCTTCGGGAAGTTTCGAGGCCTGCAACGTTGCTGCTACATGGATGTGGCCGTCTACGAGCTTCTAAGGAGTGGTCATCGCGAGGCGGCGGCTGCTCAGGTGGTCCAGAACCTCAAGTCAAAGCTGCAATGCATCATACAGGGTGGGGATTGGAGTGCCGCGTGGTTGCTCACGGGGTTAGCCGACCCCTTGTCCAAAAAGGAGTTCGCAGGATCAAAGACCGAGATGGCGGTTGTCTCTCAGTATCTAGGCAGCATGGCAAAGCTGAAGAAAAAGGTCAAGGAGTCAACCCAGGGCTCTGTCGACGAAGACTAAGGCCTAGAAGTGGTGGGAATCCTGTTCAGGTCTCGACAGTTGGAGTGCCGGGGCCCCATGTCGGTTCGACCTCTGGTGTGCCCCCTCACCAACTTCGAGACCTTGGGCAGGACTGCCCCTCACGACCCGATACCTCATGTGTCTCGACTTTCGTGCGTGTAGGCCAAGCTCCGCGGAAATACCCCTGGGAGCGAGGCATGAATTCAAAGTTTTTGCGTTACATGAGCTGGTGGAAAGCTGCCCAAAGTGTTTTGCTAGAGCGACCTAGCAAGCCTGAGAAGGAAATCCCACTCTTCCCTGCTGCTGCTCCATATCCTGAGGTTTTACATGCCAAGGGGTGTGCAGTCGTGGATGCTGAGCGTCCGATGGTTTGGGCCAAGCAACTCCTAAACAGCAGGATTGCGTGGTCTAACTATGTGGTGTTAGGTTGTCCTGACTGTCGGGGCGGTGCGTGTGAGCCGCGGGTTGTCTATAGATGTTGGAGGGACGCGCGGACCTTCGCAGATAGATTGCTTGGCGAGGTGGTCGAACTCATGGATGAGACGATATGTACAGAGAGCTTGACTTGCGATGGAAAGCGGGTCTCGATAGAGGAGGCCCTTGCAGCTCTGGCTCATAGTCACGCGTGTTATGGTGTGAGGCCCGCAGAAGGGCCACAGTGGCAAAGGCGAAGTTTCTTCAGCCACCCCAGTGGTGGCAGAACGGGTGGCGATTCCTGCCTGTGCTGGCACCGTTGACCCCCTGGACCATCTTCCCCCTCACCAAGGCTACCTTTTTAGTCACTTAGAAGAGTTGAGGAAGCCTGAGGAGGAGTGGGGCCCAGTTGTTCGTGCCTGTCATCAAGTTGATCCTTGAGAGGAGGTGCGGCTAGTCGAAAAAACTGCTTGACTGCCACATGATCACTCTGGTCCCTGAGGATGAATTACCTAGAAACAAAGATGGGAAGCTGATGGTAGCTGGTTTCTTTTGTGTAAAGAAGAATGAGGTAGAAGACAGGTTAATCCTAGATAGGCGCCCTGAAAATGCAACCATGCATAAACTTGACTGGGCTTCTTTACCGTCTGGAGCTTGTTTTGCGCGACTTCTTTTGCAAGATCACGAAATTCTGCGTGGAAGCGGCGATGATCTTCGTAATTACTATTATGCTTTGGCACTTCCCCCGAACTGGGCGCGCTTCAATGCTGTCGGTAGGCGAGTCCTGCCTGCTGTAGTGGCAAAATGGGGTGGAGATCCTGGCAGGCACTGCCGCGCAGCGATGCGCGTTTTAGGAATGGGAGACACCAATGCGTGTGACATTGCGCAAGCAGTTCATGAGGCGGTCCTGAAGCAATCTGGCCTTTTGAGCGCAGAGACTAAGTGGGAATATGGTCAGCCACTACCCCATGGAGATCTTTTTGAAGGGGCCTATTTAGACGATCTGTTGATAGCCTCCCGCATTCGGCTTCCTCACCCTATTCCCCTCGACGGCTCATTCACGCCTCCTCAGCCTCAGGCCACCGATCCCGACATGGTGCAAGCGCAGGCTGCCGAAGAGGCCTACAAGAGGGCCGGTCTTGAGCGGGCCACGCGCAAGAGCTTTAGGGGTGAGACTCAGTTCAAGGCTTGGGGTGCAGAGGTAGATGGTGTGCGAGGTCGTGTGGCAGCACCACTCTCCTCGCGTCGGCAAGTATGGGTCTTGCTGCTAGAAGTGATAAAATATGGTCGGGCGTCGAAGCAAATTTTACAGCGGCTTCTGGGATATGTTTGTTTCTTCTTCCAATACAGAAGGGAGTTGTATGCGCTTCAGCATCATGTGTACAAATTTCTGGACAGTATGGTAGACGAGGGGGTCTGCAATATTCCAACCTACATTCAAGATGAACTACGGTCCATGTGTTTGCACCTTCCTTTTAGTTGTTGGAACATGAGACGCCAATTTGCAAGCCGACTTTTTGCCACAGATGCCACACCTACTTCGGGGGGTGGATGTGCGGCTTCGCTGCCGCGAGGTCTTGCGCAAAAGTTGTGGGACCATAGTGACGCCCGGGGCGAAGCAGTGCGGTTGGATAGAGACATGAGCTTGGCTAGTTGGCTCAGTGCTGAACAGCCCAAGGCACCGTCTCAGCTGGCCAGTGCTGCGGCCGAGTTTTTGGAATGGTATGTTACTTCCAGCTACACGTTCAAGCACACTTCCCACATCAACCTACAGGAAATGCATGCGCTTCGAAAGGAGGTTGTAGCACTTGCCAGTGACTTCGCCAACTACGGCTCTGTCCAGCTCTTTTTGAATGATTCCAGAGTGGTGGTTGGAGCAGCCTCAAAAGGGAGATCTACTGTAGTTCTTTTAAGCTCAATGGCATTCTTCGAACTTTGATCCCCTATTTAGTTTTGGCTAACATTGCTCTTGGGATTATTTGGGTGGAAACGCACAGTACCTCCACGCCCTCGTCCTCATTGGTTACAAAAGCTTGGTGTCTTCAGTTCACAGTCTCCTGGTTTAGAGGCATTTGCTGGCAGCACGGGGTTGACCAAGGCATGCGTTTCGGCGGGGCTGCCCACGTTAGACCCCATTGACCTCCTTTGGGGGCGGGACGCCTTTGAAGATTGGATAGAAGTATGGCTTCGAGAAGGTAGAATAGGGTGGATTTGGTTGGCTCCTCCATGTAGTACCTTTTCACCTTTGCGGAACTTGGACAAGGGCGGGCCTCTCAGACCGCAAGGGCTTCCCGAAGGAAACAAAGCTGACCCTGCAGTGCGGCTTGGCAACCACCTCTGGCGGCGAGCTGTTTTCTTGGCCCTGCTAGCTTGGAAACATGGCATACCATTCTTTTTAGAGCATCCACGCGGGAGCAAAGCTTGGCTTATGAGGGAGAGTGTTGCATTACTGAAGCTGGCTGGGGTAGTTTTCTGGGAAATGCATTGGTGTGCGTACAAGGACCCCTCTAGAACAACCACGCCCAATAAGAAGCCTACTCGCATTTTGGCCTCCGGCGCATGGATTGCTCCTTCTGTGAAGCGCTGTCCTCGTGATCATGCACATGGGAAACCCTTAAGAGGGACCAAGGCTAAAGAAGCTGGAGCATACCCTCTCGAATTTTGCGAGCGCTTTGCGGCAGCCTGCAAGTTGTGGCAAGATGGTAAGACTGCGGAGTGTAGGCCTGACCGCGGCCTACCGTCGCAATCTTCGTGACGCTGGCCACGACCTGGTAGAGCGATTGTTCTCCAATGGACATGTTGTCACTCGTCGGACGCCTGTTCCTATTTTGGATAAATGGTTAGAGGAAGCAGTGCAACAAGCCTATGAACATGGTGAAAAACTATACTGGGTAACACTGGGTATTCTGGGGATTCAGCGTGGTTACAGAATTGCTGGCACACTCTTAAAAGGTACATGGCAAGCTGTTCGAGGTTGGAGATCGCTGAAACCCATTCGTTCCAGAGTTCCAACATCCGCC